TTTTTTTTTTTTTTTTTCTTTTTTTAAGAGTAGGAAAATGTATTAGGGAATAGGAATGGGGAGTAGGAATAGCTCCTGAGACAGGAGAGGTCCCTAATGGGTTGCCCTCTAGGTAGCTTTTAGGGTGTCTCTGAAGCATTTTTCTTCCTTCTCATTTTTACAACAGGGTGCTGTGCCATTCCTAGTCAGTGCCACCTCTGGTACCACTGTCCTTGGGGCCTTTGACCCCCTGAGTGCAATTGCTGATGTGTGCCAGCGCCATGGACTGTGGTTACACGTGGACGTGAGTAGGACCTAGGCCTGGGGTGAGGTGAGCTGAGCCAGGGCTGAGACCTACGTTGTTCCTCCTGCTCTACAGGCTGCCTGGGGTGGGAGCGTCCTGCTGTCACAGACACACAGGCATCTGCTGGATGGAATCCAGAGGTGCATACAGCTCCCTTCTCCCCACATCCCATCCTTCAAATCCTCCAACCTCAGAAGAGTCTGACTGCGGAGTTTAGGGTGGGGGTGGGAGAAGGAGGTCAGTGGACAGGGCTGGGAGAGATAACTGATTGGGGCTTGGAGGTCAGATATGGATTGCTGATGGCTGGGGTGGGGTGAGACACCCCTCCCCTGCTGCTGGGTGTGGGAAAGAGGAAGAAGGCTGTGGCTTGGCAGCTGGAGGAAGAGCCTCTGATCCGCTTTGCTCTGCCTCACCAGGGCTGACTCCGTGGCCTGGAACCCTCACAAGCTCCTGGGCGCAGGTCTGCAGTGCTCTGCTCTTCTTCTCCATGACACCTCGGTGGGTCTGCTCTGTCGCTGCCCAGCCCCAGCCCTCCTCTTTCTCTGGATGCTGTCTTCTTCCCCGGCCACCTTAGCAGGTGTCCTGCCGTACTTTGTTCCCTTTACCATCCAATCCCTAACCCCTGCACAGGCTCCTTCACTCTCCCACTGGTCCCAGTGCCCCGTCGTCTTCATGTAAAGGAAAGAGTTTCATCTTGGAGTTGTGGCTCAAGCGGTGTCAGGCAGAGTTTGGGAGGAGCTGTGGGTGTTGGGAGAAAACTGGAGAGGGCTTGCTCAGTAGCAGCTGGCCCCACAGTGGTGCCTGACTGCAGAAGGAAAGGGTGCAGCCTGGAGAAAGCCTTAGAAGGCATGAGACCAGGGTCTTAATGGTGTCCTGCTCTCCACACAGAACCTGCTCAAGCGCTGCCATGAGTCCCAGGCCAGCTACCTTTTCCAGCAGGACAAGTTCTATGATGTGGCTCTGGACACAGGGGACAAGGTGGTGCAGTGTGGCCGCCGTGTGGACTGTCTGAAGCTGTGGCTCCTGTGGAAGGCACAGGGTGGGCGAGGCCTGGAGCAGCGGATCGACAGGGCCTTTGCCCTTGCCCAGTAGGTGTGGGGTCGCAGTTCCCCTCTCTGGAGGCCACCCCTCACCTTCCCTGGGCCTCTTCTGTTTTCGTGTCTCTGCCATTCATCCATCTGTCATGTGTCACCTCTGTTCCCAGGTACCTGGTGGAGCAAATCAAGAAGCAGGAAGGGTTTGAGTTGGTCATGGAGGTACGGCCGCATGCCGCATGCTCTTTTGCCTCCCTTGCCCAGGCCTGCCTCATCTACCAAGCCCTGGTGGAGAAATAGGGGCAGAGTGAGGAAAAAGGCCTTTCCTCAGCTGACCCCTTCCCTTGTCTCATTTCCCTCAGCCTGAGTTTGTCAACGTGTGCTTCTGGTTCGTGCCCCCCAGCCTTCGGGGAAAGCAGGAAAGTCTGGATTACAGCCAAAAGCTGTCTCAGGTAGTCTCCCTCCTCCTGGCTCCTTTGAGAGCTGGTCCAGCAACTGATGCAGCTGGCGCTTTCTTCCCCCTGCTGGCTGTGACTGGTATGGCAGGTCTTTGGATGGATCCCTGGTTCCTAAGGTGGCATCAGCTGGAAGACAACAGTTTGTCCTTTATTGTGAGGGCAGGGATAGGGAGAAAGGTGCTTTTTTTTTTTTTTTGAAGTAAGAGAGATGAGAGGGTTGTTATAGGAGTCAGAGAAGTCACCAGGTGCAGCACAAAGACTCTTGTGCTGGGAATTGTCCTAGGACAGTGGTGACGATCCTGAGGTACACATGCCAAAGCGGGCCATTTGTATCATTGAAAGCTCTGAAAGGTTCTCCATCACTGTCCTAGGAACTCAGGCCCAGTGCAGAGATGGGAAGGAAAACAATCAGGAAGAATTTTATCATGGTACTGGGGACAGGCCAACCTGGAAAGGACAGTCCAGATATGCTTTCTGGAGGCAAGGAGGTGTCGTGTCTTAGTTGTTAAGAATGGATTGGTACTAGGTGCTGTGGATGGCCTGAAAGGACAAGTGTTCTTGTCCTCATGCAGATATATGTAGAAAGCAAGAGTTACCTTTTTTTTTTTTTTGCGGGTACCAGGGATCGAACTCAGGACCTTGCACTTGCAAGGCAGGCGATGGAACCACTGAGCTAAATCCCCAGCCCAAGAATTACCTGTTTTTTTAAAAAAATTTATTAGTCCATGTTTGCAGTACAGTGATTACATCCATCATGGAAATTGGTATATGTCCATAACACATCTTAATTCTTTTTACTTCCCCTTCCCCTCCCTAGAGGGGAGAAGGTGTTTGAGTTGACTAAGATTTAAAGTTAGACTGAGGCAGTGCTGGGAATCAGAAAAATGTTGTGTGGTAATAGAAGATGGCCTTTGCCATGGCTTTTTGGAATAAGGGAAATGAAGAATAAAGTAGAAGGCCGAAAAGGCCAGGCAGGTTGGATGTGGTGGAGAAAGTAAATGGGCAAAGTGAGGGTCTGAGCAGTGAGTGGTATCTCCAGAGGGTAGTGGGCAGGAGGGCAAACATCTGGGAGCCTCCCTTCCCCACTGAGCTCAGGCTGCTTCTGGACTCTTCACCCCTCCCTCAGGTGGCCCCTGTACTGAAGGAGCGCATGGTGAAGGCAGGCTCCATGATGATTGGCTACCAACCCCATGGGGCCCGGGGCAACTTCTTCCGCATGATTGTGGCCAACCCCATGCTGACCCATGCAGACATAGACTTCCTCTTCAAGGAGCTGGAGAGGCTTGGCCAAGACCTGTGAGCCATCGCCCTCTTGTGGCTGCCTTGATGCCATCCCTCCCCCTCCAAGTCTGCACTCTCTTTCTTGTGCTCTCCAAAACAGCCTTTCTAGGAAACAAAGTGACCTTACCTGTGTTTATAAGCTTTGACCCACTAATTCTCTTAATACTTACTATATGGAGAATGTTTAAATAAACTGTGCTATATCCATATGATAGACTGTTACTCTTTCATCAAGCTATTTACAAAGAGAATTTTTATTAATACAAGAAAAAATTATATGGGAAAAGCTGAATGTAAGACTTTATATACAGTGATATCTGAGATCTAAATATATAGGATGAGACAGGTGTGGTGACACACAGCTGTGATCCTAGCCTTCAGAAGGCTGAGGCAGGAGGATTTGAGCAAGACCCAGTCTCCAAAAACTATGAACTGTGCCAAAATGTTATCAGTTTCCTGTGGTGTGGGATAATACGCAATTTTTTTTTTTTTTTTTTTTTTTGGCACTGGAGATAGAACTCAGGTCCTTGTGCTTGCAAGGGAGGAGCTGGAACCACTGCGCTAAATCCCCATCCCAATAATAGGTAATTTTTAAATCAACTCCTCTATATCTTTTGTGCTCCTCTCTTGTGTCATGTAAGGAATATGAATTACTTTGTAATAGGAAAAAAAAATAAAATTAAAATTTCAAGTATTTAATTTTGGTATGTTTCGAAATTTATTATTCTCAAACCAAATAGTGGAGAACTTTGTTTAAAAAAAAAAAAAAGAACAAGAAGCAGGTAAGAGAGAAGAAATATAGTTACAACTTTTTCCCCAAGAAATCTTTTTTTTTTGGTAACAGGGATTGAACTCCAGACCTAGCATTTGCAAGGCAGGCATGGAACCACTGAGCTAAATCCCCAGCCCATTCCCCAGAAATCTTTAGTGAAAGAGAAAAGCCCAAAAGTACAGTCAATCTCAAACCAATCATACTTTAGTGACACTAGAAACAGAAGGGGCACTGATGGAATCTTAAAACCAGAGCCTTTTCACTTACACCCTCTCCCCTTTTACTCTTGAAGATAATCCTCACCCTTAACCAAAAACTGACTGTTCTGTAATTTAAACAACAGAAGGTGAGTTAACAATAATGACAGTAGCAACACACCAGCAATCAAATAACTGTTCTGTCCTCTGGGATGGCTGGTGTTTTGCTTGAAAATGTCTACTAAGCTCTTGCCTAACATTCCTGAGGCCCTGGGTTCAGTCTCTAGCACGTCCCTCCCCAAAAATAACTCCTATCCATGTAACACTTAAAATCCTAGCTGTTACTACTTCTCAATCACTTTGAGGGCAAGAGGAATTTAGCTACACAAGTTACTAAGAACAAGAGGCAAGTCTACCAGAACTTTTTGTTATTTCCAATCCCTAAAAATATCACTTGTGAAAACAGTAATGTGGTCATGTAAAAGTCATCCAAAATTACTTGAAGAGGCAAATACAAGCTGTACAAATCATGGCAAAAGAGCATCCAAATGTTAGGCATGATTTGCTTGACTATTTTTTGGGGAAAAAGCCTTTTTGTTAATAATTTACCATAATTCCACTGTAAACTTGTTTTCTTTTTTTTTTTCTTTTGGCACTGGAGATTGAAATCAGGACCTTGCACTTGCAAGGCAGGCAGCAGCACCACTGAGTTAAATCCTCGTCCCCGTTATTCTTCATATAAGTGACATTTTACTTTTTCCCAAATAATAAAATTGGTCTGAGACTATTAATATGAATTCCAAACCCTAATCTTTTTGGGGGTGGTCCTGAGTATCAAATTTAGGGGAGCCGTGAACATGCCAGGCAAGTGCTCTGCTACTGAGCTATATCCCTAATCCCAAAGCCTAATCTGAAAGGATTGTGTATACCTGCAAAATGTCTCAAATGTAGTTACAGAAAAAAACAAGGAAGGATTTATTTCATTTCTTTCATCTCACTGAAAACTGTCTGGAGGCTTTTTGATTTGGATTAGATGTGTGAAGGTACTGTCTTTTGCCAAAAACCTCAAATTACCTGTTTTTTGTTTTGCTTTGTTTTTTCAATGTAGTTGAAACAGTTTGTGCTTGTTTGGAGATCAGTTCAAAAACTATCTTTACTATCCTATACTGCCTCTGATGTTAGGATTTATGTATTATAAGGAAGCTAGCTCTGACTATACTTTCCTAAGCATAAAGTCTTATTTTTGTAGCATGAAGAAAAAAAAGGAAGGGATTCTGATTTTTAATTTAAAGCAAAGCTATAAACAAAATCTTCAGATTCCTTGCCTCATCCCCACTTGAGGAAAAAAAAAAATCTTTTTGTACTGGGGATCGAACTCGGGTCCTTACACTTACAAAGCAGGCACCAGAACCACTGAGCTAAATCTCTGGCCTGAGAAATATTTTTTTTAAGAGCAAGTCAGAAGAACAGGACATATAATCAATCTATTTTTTTACAACTTTATAAAACTGGTGCTTCTTTTCTTGTGTTCCTGAATTCTTGTGTCCCTCCTCCCAGTTCTTGGCTTTGCGTTCCTGGAGTATGCAACTCTTTTCCCTGCCACCAGAGCTGAAGATTTCATCTCAGTCATCCCTCAGTGGAGCCATGTCCCTGCTCCAGGGCCTTTGCACATGGGGCCCCTTTTGCCTCGGTGTTCCTCGGTCTACTCACTGCCTTTAGGTTTTTGTTCAGACATCAGCTCCTTCTGTGAAGCCTTCCTTGTCTGCTTAAAATTACATTTGAAGCCAGGGATTTAGCGATTTAGCTCAGTGGTGCCACCGCCTGCTTCACAAATGCAAGGTCAGATTCCCCCCCCAAAAAAAAAACAAGTTAAAATTACATTTGCATCTCCTGTTCTTGCTTGTCCTATCTCCGTATCTTCCTAGTTTTTTCTTCATAGCATGTGTATACATTTGGCCTACTTTAATTTTAGTCATTTTTTAATTTTTCTGTGTCACCCAACAAGAATGCAAGCTCTCAAAACAGAAGTTTGTACTGCTGCCCACATTGGTGTTTGATACTTCCTGGGGTACTGCTGCTGAGTGAATGGCTCATGATCTCTAGGTGCTAGCTGACTTGCTTTTAGTCATGCAACTTTTTTTTTCCTGGTTCTGGAGATCAAAATCAGGACCTTGTGCTTGCCAGCCAGGCATGATGCCACTGAGCTACATCCCCAGCCCTGGCCATGCAACTTTTAAGTGGTGGAATCAGAAACTAAAGTCAGACCTTCTTCTTGTGGCTTCTAATCAGATCTTCTGTCGGCAGGAACACCTAACTAGGCCTAGGTTTCAGAACTGCTTTCTCACTGTAGGTATGAAAGCTGCTGAAAGGGAATAAGCTAGAGTCAGGGCAGACTCTGTCATGACTCTTGGGACTGTCCTTATACACCCTGGATCTTCATCTGCGTATTTCTCTTCTGTTTATTTACCTTTAAAAATTTGTAACTTCAGAGCCAGGTGTGGCAGCGAACACCTGTAATCCCAACACTTGGGAGGCTGAGGCAGGAGGATCACTATGAGTTTGAGTCTAGCTTGGATCACATAGTGAGTTCAAGGCCAGCCTGAACTATATAGCAAGACCCTGTCTCAAAAAAAAAAATCTGTAATTTCAAATTTATGGAAATGTTGCATCAATAATTACAGAGTCTTGCCATATACTTTGTCAAGATTTACTAATTTTTACACCTTGACAATTCTGTTTATCATTGTGTGTGCACTATATACATTTCTTTCTGAATTCTTTGAGAGTCAGGTGTCTATATTATACCCTTTGTCTCTTAAAACTCAAATGCATATTGCCCAAGAACAAGAGAATTCTCTTATACAGCCATGATACACTTAGCAAATTCAAGAAAATTAACAGAGACTTTGCAAGATCTATATTGTAGAATTGTCCATTTTACCCTCTAGTCAAAACCCAGTCCAGATCATGGATTGTATTTTATTATATTTTAGGTCATTCCTTTAAAATACTTCCTCAGGACCAGGGATTTAGCTCAGTGGCACCACACTTGCCTTGCAAGCTCAAGATCCTGAGTTGGACACCCAGTGCAAAAAAAAAAAAAAGTTCCTCAGACGTTCTTTGTTATTTAATGACACTGGCATGAAAAATACAGGCCAGTTAATTATGTTATAGAATGTCCATCAATTTGGTTTTTCCTGCTATTTCCTTATGACTAGAGTTGGGTTATGTATTCTAGGTTGGAGTATGGCATATGGCACAGGTCATACTGTGTTTTCTTTTCATGTAAAGCACATCCCAATGCCGAGAAAGTCACCTGCTCCTCATTAGTGATGTTACTTAATTGCTTTTGAGGCAGGGTCTTGCGAAGTTGCCCAGGCTGGTCTCTAATTCAGGCTGTCTCAGCCTCCCCAGTGCTGGGGCTGCAGGTGTGTACCACCACATCAAGCTGGTACCATTAAACTGGTCACCGTGTATTCTGGCTTCTCTGAGGTATATAGTTACTGTTTCTGCAACATGCAGAGAGAAGATATTTTGAGATTATACAAATAATCTTGCTCCTTTTTGTACTTACCACAACTATTTATTTATTTTTGGTACGGGGAATCGAACTCCAGACCTCGTGCTTTAGAGGCAGGTGGTGGAACCACTGAGCTAAATCCATGGCCCTATCACACCTACTTAGTATCCATTCCTGATTATGTCCAAGCCAATTTTTATCGTAATGGTTGAAAACTAGTGATTTTTATAACTCCAAAATTCCTTCCACTTTTATCATTTACCACTAGACTATACAAAAAGAGAGCCTTCCTTTCTCCTTATTCATTAATTCATCAACTTATCATCAGTATTAGGTCCTTGTTTTATTCACTAGATTATAATTTTCAGTCCTTAATTTTTTATTTGTTTGTTTTTTGAGACAAGGTCTCACTATTAATTCAAGCTAGCCTTGAACTCGCTATGTAGCACAGGCTCGAATTCACAGCAAACCTGCCTGAGCCTCCGGAGCGCTGAGGTTACGGGTGTGCACCACCACTCCCAGCTTTTTCAGTCCTTGAGATGCAGGGAGTCAGGCAGTCTGATGGCCTAGATTGAAATTATGCCCGAGTTCATTTTTAGCAAATTTTCTAGTGCTGACATAATTAGCTTGCATGCTTTCTTAATTTGTAGCATGTTATTTTTAGCTTTTTCTAATAGCAATGCGTGTTTTCAAGTTAGCTCAAGAATCTCAGTGTTTTTAATGTCAACTGGGGGTAGTGGTGCTGCCAGTGTAGAAAGTGTACATCAGGTATTGACCTAGGGCTTTCTTTGAGAATAGACTACAAATTCAATATATTTAATAGATAAGGGGTACTTGGGAATATTCTTCCTTAAGTAAACTGGTAGAACATTGTCTAAACCAGGGAAGGTGCTACCCACCCATAATCCCAGTACTCTGAGAGGCTGAGGCAGGAGCACTGCAAATCTGAGCCTAGCCCAGGAAGTTTAG